CTCATGTAAATGGGTTGATGCCCAGAATCAAAATGCTTTCGAGAAGAATACACCCAAAGCTTCACATAATAAAACGTAGACGGAAAAACTTGCGCAAAACTCTTAAGAAAAAGGAAGAGAATGCAAAGATTAAAAACTTACATGAATATTCAAACGAAAGATAGACTCAAATGATACTTGAGCAAAAAGATATTTTTATTTACAATAACATGCCAAAACAGCACAAATACAAGAATTGGAAGAAGAAAAAAGGCAAAACTGCAGTATCTCCGGAACCCGGAGGAAGAGAAGTGTTCGCGCCCCTGGGAGAAGTAGATGGATCCACTGATGGCTCAACATTTTGGTCTTCACCAGTTGGCATTCAGCATCATTATTCTCCGATTCTTCTTCAGTTCCTGAGAACTCAGAACCGTAACCAGAAGGACCAGGAGCATCAGACCCTGCTGGGAGACCAATTTTAGCAGCTAACTCAAGCTCACGGACCTTAAGAATTTCGGCATCAAAATCAATGATACCAGCTTTGGCCTCTTCCAAGGTTTTTATCCTCATGTTGTACATAGCGTAAGTTTTCTTAATAATGAGGGAAGTCGCTCGGTGATTGAGTTCTTCTTTGAGTTGGGTGACCTCAGACAAAAGATTTTCCTGGGCGTATCTAACGGATTTGAGACTAACATCGATTTGCGGACAGTAAAGCTAAAAATTCTATTATGCTCAATGGTCCTCTTGTGCTTCTCCTCCATCTGGGCATATTTCGCCCTCGCAACAGCAAGCTCTTTATCCTTGAGATCCAAGGCTCCCTCTAAGTTGTTCAATCTTTCAGCAGCGTCAGCCTCACGATCGGATATAACAATAATGGCATTATGGACTTTAATCTATTTGGCCCTAGCCTCTTCAAATTGGGCTCTCAATGGGGTGATTCTTGGCTAAGGGTCTCCACTTCCTGCTCACTTTGCTGCAAACGAGTTTCCAATGCAACATCCTCGGCATCTTTAGTTTCCAATTTCGAGAGGCGAATAATGGCTTGGTCCCGTTCAACCAAAAGTTGATCCCGGCTCAAAGGTAAGTTCCCCCTTTTCTCTAATCAACCTTTGAAGTCCCTCAGAAGCAAGAAAGTTGGCCTACAAAGTGAATAAAGCAGACTTAGGATATGTTTAGGCAAAAATAGAAGAAACAAGAAAAGAATTAAAGAATATACCGTTGCAGCGTTGTGCATGGAGTTGTTCAACAAGCACTCTCCCGAGAGAGCCTGAATCTTTTCTCAATCCTTCTCTGAAGCCAAAGGCTTCTGGTAATTAGCAAGCTCCACCGGCCGAGATAGTAAGTTGCATCCGGTAGAGACTGAAAGAGTAACATTCCTCCTCCCTTGCGGATCTCCGGAGGGGGGAGCGTAATTTTGCCCAAATCCCCATGAACTGGGGACTAGGGAAGAGGAACACCTCCTTCATGATCAAGTGCGGCCATTGGAGATAATGTAGCAGTTGCTGGTGGAAGAGTAGGTGCAGATGGAAATGATGTTGCAGCTGCTGGTGTTGGCGAAGGTGGATATGAAGTTAATGGGGTTGAAGAGTGAGAAGCAGCTGCAACAAATGCAGTGCTGGTTTTTGGATGCTCGCCAACCAAAAACGACAGGGACCCGGTACTCAGTCCTCCAGTACCGGGCACAACAATTGAGGCCCGGAAACGGGAGTTGGCACTATCTACCAAATCAAACTCTCCTCAAAGTGCCGAGACATCATTCTCGGTTGGTGTAACTATCTCAACAGGTCGAGCATCCTATTGAGATAATGAGGATCGTCGTCTTATATGTAGAGAAGCTCCCTCATCACTAGCTTCTTCATCATCGTCGATCATTACGGTGTCTACGACCGGCCTGGAAAGAGGGTTAGTTACCACCACTACCTGAGATGACTTAGGGGCAACAATCTTCGCCCTCTTATTCTTCTCCCTATCTGCAGAGAAGGAATTTTTTTTGGTCGTTTGTCCTCTGGCCGAGGACTACGTAATGAAACAATTGTACTGAAGCAGGCCTAGAGATACCTGTTCGAGTAAGCTCCCCCTGAAGCAACCTCGCTGTATCAGTAGGATCAACCAAGATGTCCTCCTCGGGGACAACAATAGAACCCCACGGGTAGACCTGATTTCATAGACAAGGTAGAAGTGATCAATCAAGTTCTTCACATGAAAAATTGAAACAAGGTGAGTTTGAGTTACCATGATTTTTGTCTTTCCACCCATATTTAGGGGTCAGTTCTTTCTACAAGCGGGTTTCAAGCATCGTGACGTCCAAGATCTTCTAGACCCACCAGTCCAAACCTTCAACAACCGATGAGATCCATTGAGTTGCTGAAACAGGCGAAGGATGGAGGATCAATGCTGGTATAGAAGAATATTTAATAAAAGAAATATCAAATAAAGAGCTTACGAGTGCGGTTCTAAGCGTCCAGAAAGGATGAAGCCCTTGTCGGAATGATATCGTTTGTGGCAACTGCAATAAGTTGTTCCATTTATCCATGGTCGTTGTCATCATCCATGCTAGATAACGGAGCATGGTGTCCACGCTTGCATAGGGTTACCATTCCCCCGCGAAAGATCTTGGAAGAATAGAGATTCATCACATGAGCTAAGGTTAGCTCTTCTCCCTTCTCCTGGCACAAACGCCGAAGTCAAGCGATTATCCTCCACACAGAAGGACTTACTCGTGCCAAGCACACTTGATAGCAGAGACAAAACTCCGTAATAACAGAGTCAAGCTCTCAACTCAAAGAGAATGCACCCAAAGTAAAGGGATACATGTAGAAATATGTAAAACCCTTCTTGGGTAGGTCACTCACTCTGATAAATCAGGAGCAACAATATCCAAATAATGACAGCGACAGTCTTCCTTCACAATAGGAAGGACGGATAGAATAAGGGTACCTACTGACGGCCCATGTACGAGGGTTATCAGAAGGAAATTTCTCTTCGAAGTCTTTTGTGGTAACAAGACTTCTAGGAATGATGGAGCTTACTATTGGAGGAGCAGAGTCCTCGGCCTTGTTCTTGTTTTTTGAAGAACTAGTATTCTTTGAGGAAGAAGCCATTGTATGGAAGAAGGAAAAGGTTTTTCGCTTGAAGAGAATTAGAGAAAAATTGAAGAGTAGGATGCAAGTCGTATAAGGAAAGCTTGAAAAATTGTGGAATATAAAGGGAGAAGGTTGATGCGTATAAATAAAAGTTTTGGCGGCTAAATTCATGGCTACGATCACCTCGATAATCGGCAAAAGCTGTACTGAATTATGAGATGACGCGTATTCGGGGCATTAAATGCGGAGAGACGTGCATTTAACCAACCATTAGAAGCCTTCAGAGGGAGTTATAGTAATCCCCGCCAAAAGAGTATTTCTACCAACTTTCCGGTAACACAAAGTTATATCACCGGAAAGTAGGGGGACTATCTGTATAAGGTAAAATATGCTATGCCACGTGGCAGTCCAAAAGAAGGACACATGGAACTCAAGACGGGGGGATGTCCAAGACCGAAGGCAACTGTTCCGCCAGTCACCGAGAAGAATAACGCTCATAAGGATGTAATAAATACTCTTCGCCCAGTAGCATTTAATAGAGAATATTTCATGGCATTAAGTACGATTTCCCGTTACAAAGAATTTGACATTTATACTCGATGTTACATCTTTATCAATGGCCCTCATAATTGGCATTAAAAAAGGGCATGATCCTAGGACCTCCTTCCCTAGACGTAGCTATAAATAGTGATCTCAATTATCATTGTAAGGGACATGAATTTTCTAGTAAATTGACGCTATACTCTATTCAAAGCTTAATACAATTTTATCTTCCGGCTTTTTGATTTCACTTTTGTTGTGCCCGGAAGCCTTGATCCTGGAACTACTGTTTCTGCTATTTCGTCTCCATTTCAAGGCTAAGTATTGCGTATTTCTTTAATTATTTTATTATTTCAGGATCAAATTAATTCACTTATCTAGAAATCACGTATAAATTCAATTATACCGTTTTACGGATAAACAAGTTCCTAACTTTCTATATATGTCGTTCAAAACTAGCTGATGGGTACCGTGGGCTAATATTGTCATACCACACAAGACAAAACGATGATAAAAAATAAATAAATAAAAACATTTTACACCACGTTAATCCCATATTCAATAGTCAAACGGTTTATATTTCACCAAATTGAGTAGGAAAGTTTAAGTTGTTTGCCTGCAAAATCTATTCTGGAAACCATTCCTATAGCTAAACCAAATAGAAAAGTAATCATTAATGCTTAAAATCTAATGATTTAAGATATACTTGTATTTCTTCATTTTTAAATTTACATATTTTGACAGATCATTTTGAAGAAATTAATATTTTATGATTTTTTATGCCGAGCAAGTAAAAATGTCACTGTCGATACACTGAAAAGAGCATTTAGAATCTGAAGTCAATTATAAAAATCGCATACCATAAAACAGATAGTGCAATTGTTCTGCAACTAATAAATACATTTCTTCATAACATCGAAATTATATCTTTAAGTAACAGGAATTCTTTTAGCAGCTTTGCAATAGATTTTATTAATAATTGTGAGTACGATTCTATTTGTTTTCTTGGTTTTTCTTTTCGTATTGTTTATTGTAGTTAGAGTGTTAAAGCAATATATTTCTTGAATGTAGGATGATATGCACCTTCTTGGAATATATTTGATATCCACAAAAGTCGAGTATTTTATAGATCTTATAGTATTTGATTTTCAAGAAATATCCGGTTATACTTCATTTCAAGTTGAGCTTGGAGAAGAACATCATTCTATCACTTCGGCTTTGAGAAATGTCTTGATCTTTTTGTAAATATTTTATGAAAATTTCGAGATAACAACTTTACGATGTATTCACTGTATCATCTCGAAATTTTGAAATAAACTCAATCTAAAATATTTATTGAACAAACAATATTTATACTCAGTGGCTTGAATTTTCCTAAACCAAAATAAAATTCAAAGATAAGAAAATAACGCAGCACAGCATTGCCGAAAAAGAAAAGAGAGAACCACAACCCAAATGCAATGGTCCTAACTCCTACACCTAACTTGGGCCTTTTGGCCCAATGTTTACAGTTAACATTAGATTTCAAAGATTCAATGGGCCAGCCCATTACCATTTTGGTGTAATGGACTAACATGTCCATTGGAAAGCCCAGCCCGTTTACGAATATTGACCTTAATATCTTCCATAAATTGATGAAAATTCTTCTCAGATGATCCATCTTGTCCTAATGCATTCTCTAATGTCTTCCTCACTTCCTTCATTGCCTTTCTCAACTCTTGAGTACTATCTCCACACATAAAATTACTAACCTTTTCGGCGACTTCCTCGTGCGTGACACGTTTTTTGTCGCAGAGATTAATCCCGATCTTCCAATCATTAACGACTAATTTTCGATTAGTAAATTGATCGGTCAACAAGGGAAAACATATCAACGGTATACCGCACCATATGCTTTCCAACGTCGAGTTCCATCCACAGTGAGTCAAGAATCCACCTATCGCAGGGTGTGAGATCACTTCAATCTGTTTACACCATGGCACGATCAACCCTCGATCTTTTATACATTCCTCGAATCCAACGGGCAAGAAATCGGTCTCGTCCGAGCTGACGATATCGGGCCTTAGGACCCAAATGAAGTTCACCCCACTAAGTTGAAGCCCATGGGCTATTTCCAAAATGTCTTCTTTACTAGTATGAGCATAGCTACCAAATGAGACATATAAAACTGAAGTATTGGGCTTGTTATTGAGCCATTGAGAGCAATCAGACTCAGACCATAGGCTAATACTAAATGGGGCCTTAGTAAGCCCAGATGGGAAAATGGGCCCAATAGCATAAGTGGGCTGTTTCTTGTTTAGGGCTGAAAGAGTATCAAATTCAAGTTCTTGGACTGTATTACAAATGATAATATCAGCCTTTTTAATATCTGTAAAAGCTTTGTAAATTACCCTGTGGACTACAGTCCAAATATCAGTTGCTTGAAGATATGACATTAAATCCCTTGGTTCAATTGCTTCAACTCCTGGTATATAATCTATAGTGTCCTTGCGATTATCTGATAAATAAAAATATAATTTAATCAAATTATAAAATTATAGCAATAGAAAGTGAAACGAAAGAATACAACAACAACAACAAATCCAATTTATTGCACGAGTGGGATCTGGAGGGGATAGCGGGTACGCAGACCTTACTCCTACATTATGAAAATAGAAAGATTTTTTCCAATAGACTATCAGCTCACGAAGGTCATTTACAGTCATTTATTTTCTATTCGTCTATGAAAATATTGACGTATCTATCATTCACCCTCACTTTTCTCAAGAGTTTACCTAGATCAGAAGTAAAAAAGGGCAGCCAAATACACAAAGTATTCCATATTTATGCAGGATTGGGAGAAGAGTCGCCTAATAATATCATGTAGACAGTTTACCCTAGTGCAAGTATTTGTAGTTGTTTCACGGTTCAAACTCATTATCTGTAGGTCACACGAAGACAACTTTATCGTTGCTCCAAAACTTCCCTTCTAGTAGGAAGTCCGAAAAAAACAAATATTTATGTGACCCTCTCTAACCATATACTTAGACAAATGAAAAGAAAAAACAAAATATCCAAATTGTATTGGGTTGGTGATGTAATCATAAGCTGAAATGGCTAATCATTAACATCAAATAATTTTCAAATACACTCACCAATACCATTCAATACCATAGCATTATTAGAATAAATGCTAGATTCTAAATATAAGAATGATTAGTCACCTTTTTAATATTTTTCTTCTTAGAAAATTTATAATTTTTTGTTCTAATCCTATAGTCCGAATTCAAAAGAAAAAAATATATTAAATGAACCAAGTGGGTCAACTCTCAAGGCTATGCTAGGAGGTCAAAGAAGGCAGCTATTAAACAGTAAAATGAAAAGTTAAGATAATGATCTCTGATTAAAATAATTTTTAGCCCAAGTTTATTTTCGAGAAATATGCAAAAGGATAAATGTTCAATTAACAGAAAGGTGTTCGGTCTATAAACATGGGATAATGCATAATAAATAATTTGTTTAAATAGTACTAAATTTCATATGAAAGAGATAAGCAATTACACGAACAAAGATTTGGATAAGAAGTTGACATGTATTAGAAAATCGAAACTTTAAATCTAATATTCTATTTTATTTAATTTAATTTTAAGGAATTCACAGAGTAGGTACTATTTATTACTTATAAAAAATATCTCCAAGTGTGAACACCTATCTTATTATAATCTCAAAGTAAATACTAACAGACAAGAGGAGGAAAAAAAAGGACTAACAAGAAAAATAATTAAAGACACGAATTGACTCACGATAACTGATTTTTTTTTTAGCTGTTTTCACATAAATTAAAAAATTCATATTTTAATATTAATTAGCAATAAAATTGATCATAAATATTCCAGCACTATTTACTCCAAGGGTAACGTAGGAAAAAAATAATTAATTCATTTTTTGAAATCTGGAAAAATCTGATATTTTGGACCACAAAAAAAAGGACAAAAAATCACTTATTGTGGATCGGAGGGAGTATGTTTCACACAAAAACTTTTGTATTTGCATCTCAATCAGTATTGGCATCTCAATCAACTGAAGGGAGTCTTGGAGTAACAGTAAAAGTTGGGGGCATTTGCATTTATACCTGCTTTTAGGTCACGTTTTAACTTGTGTCCGCTTTGTAAAAAAATTGCAACCGTACCCACTTTTTCGCATATTTCAGCATATGAGGCTGAAGTAACAAAGGCAATCACGCAAAACTTCGGCATTCTAGTAGACGGGACTGAATAGCAAGTGTGTTGAACCAAGTGTGCTGAAGTTTTTATTTGTAATTGCTGAATTTAAGCATAATAGCTGAAGTTTTTTTCTCTATTTGCTGAAGTTTTTGTTTGTAATTGCTGAAGTTTTTGTTTTTGTAACTGGCGGAGCTGAAGTTTTTGTTTTGTAACGGACAAACTTCAACTCTAGAGCTGAAATTTTTGTTTGTAACTGGCGAACTTCAGCCTTCTATTGGTTCAACAAAAAGGACTCATAACTGTTGCTCCAGGCGTCATGAAACTAATACCGGACTTGAACTCAACGCCTTCGTTGGTGTAATGTTGTAAAGAAGGCAGACCAAGTACAACAGCTAAATGATCAGAAGTAGAAGCAGAGTCACTGTCTCCAAAGCTGTAAATGGAATAAAATGGGGAAGATTTTTTCTGTGCCTTAGCGGAAGAAGCAGCAAAAAAGACTAATAGCGAAATAGTGGTTGGAAGAAACAGCTCTTAAATCGAGCCATTACATTGTTAAACAGTTCCGGAGAGATATGGAGATCATTGGGAGAAGGGGAGGAGAAAGGAGGCTTATGTTGTTTAAAAAGTGGGTACAAGTTAAAATATTTTTAAAAAATGGGTATAGGTTAAATGGGGGCGACCAAATAGGACGCCCCGTGCAATTTTTACTAAAAGTTGTCTCTGTATGGCCTATAGGTCACGGGTTTAAGCTGTCAAAGCAGCCACTAATGCTTGTATGAGGATAGATTGTCTATATCACCATCCCTTGGATTCCGGTCCTTTCCCAAACTCTATGTGAATACGAAATACACTGCCACTTATCTCAACTAAGTGCCATGACTGTATTCTGAAAACAAAACAACAAAATGTCTACTCTTTAAGAAGAAATTATTTTTAGAAAATACAAGTTGTCTGTTCTGAAATCAAATGGAGGTTGGTGTCTCAACCAACCACCATAATTATTTATTACCACCAAACTTTCATGGGATCCCACAATGCCCACCACCTAAAAACAGGACAAAAACAATAAAAAATAAGGGAAGACCCACAAATTGTGTTGGTCCATTAATACAATTCGTGTTTGTAAGTAAATTTTAATCTAAAATAAGAAAAAGAAAATCTAACACCATGTTGATTGATTTTAAAATTTTAGTTTTTGATTGATACTTACTCCGTGTTATTTTTAATAGCAGTGTAGACCTATTGTATAAATTAATATTATTTCTTAGAAAAATACACATATATATATATTTTCCGAAGCAATATCGAATGACACTTTCAAAAGATAGGCAATTGCATATCTGGGAGTATAACACAATTTCAGTGTGGGCCCCGAAAGCGATATTAATGGGCTTCAAACTCAAAATTACTAGATGTGACCTCAAAATAGTAGGGAACAAGATCGTCCAGTGAAAGACCTCTAACAAGGTGAGATAAGCTTCATAATCTAGAGCAAAAGAGCGTAAATTACCACCTAAGTCCTCTAAATAATCGCTCCATGATAAAAGAGGTAGGGTTGCAGACAGAGGCAGACCTACGTTATAAAGAGAAGCGTCACCGACACCCAGAAGTTCAACACAAATTTCATATATACATTGTATATATGTTTAGAAAATATTGATATACTAATAGTGGCACTCCACATACAAAGCAGAGATTGGTTGAACGTAAAGGTATACCCGACCTTCAACTCCTAGGTCCGCCTCTGATTGCAGAGATAACCGAGCCAATCCACTCATAAATTTATTAAAAAAAAAGTAAAAAAGAAAGTTGAAAGTAAAGGGGCACTATACCTTGAGAAGCAAAATGGCCATTTTTCTTGAGAAGTTCCATATGATAATAAAGAGTTAAAACCAAAGCAGGCTCTGTCCAAAACGAAACATACACCAAATTATACTTCTCAGCAATCATCAATGGCCAAACATAGAAAGTATCAGCAATCAAACACGTCACAGGTGGATCAGACTTAACCAAATTCCCAACAACTTCATCAAAATGTGCTGAAAATACATGTAAAAGTCCTTCAACAAATTGGTCATGATTTAAAGACCTATCAAATCCCAAAGGAAAACCGTCGTTGACCGTTGCATAACGTATGTCAAGCCCATTTTCACGAGCCTTAGCAAAAAGATCATCTTTATTACTATGTCGTTGTGTTTGTGAATTCGAAATCTTGGAATGAATATAATGTGTGTTTACAAAAGTAATTGTAAAGCCATGAGAAGCAAGTTTTATGGCTAAATATACAAAAGGGGTAATGTGACCTTGATATGGATATGGAATCAAAATAGCATGAGGTTTTTGGTAATGACTTGCCATTTGATAATTTTTTCTAGTTTTAATTTGTTCTAATTGTGGAGAGGAGCTTTTGAAAGAAAGAAGAAGAAGATAATGATGATCAATTTGCCTAGTTTTTTGGGGGTCCTATGAGTTTTCAAGTGGCATTTATTTGTGCTCCATAATTGAAGGGAAATGGAGGGGAAATGAATTAAAGTGGAAAAGAATTTCTAGGAAAGGAATCAACTTTTTAAAAATTGTAATTTGAGCAAGTAAATAAAGTCCATTTTGTTTTTCTTTTCCATAGGTTAGACTAGTGGTGAAAAAATAGATTAAAAAAATAATTATCCATTCATATTATCCGTTTTAGATAATTGACTTTTTAAAAATGGATCAAATATGGATGATATCCATATTATTCACTTAAGAAATAGATATTCACTGAATAACCAATGAGTTTAATTATTACAATTGCAAAGATCAAAGTAGAGGTTCCTTAAATTTAGAAGCCTAGAAATTCTCCCATAAGTTATCCTATTCAAGAAAATTGGATAATATGAGCATTCATATTATCCGCAAATTAACCTATTTTCTATCCATATTAAATATAAAAGTATCAAATATTTTATCCGTTTTGTATAATCCTTTTTCGACCTGATTCATATACGATATGTTTTGCCCAGTTGCCACACCAAGGTATATAAGACTGTTCTTTTTTCTGGTTTAGCCATCTAAAATATAGGTCATCGGCTGCGGAGCCACATGTCTTAAGGGGTGTTTATCGACACCTTTTTATTGGAAAATTACATTGTATACTAGGTAACTTTTATTGTTATGTATATATAATATATATTGACACATCTTGGCTTCGTGGATTTATATTTTGACCCCCTCTTTAGTAAAAATTCTAATTCCGCCATCGGATAGCCATTAAAGGGGAAAGAACTTCCTATCGTAAGTTTCTTAATTACCCCAAAAATTAAAACCTTTAATTATGGATTAAAATATATCCTAATCATCCTACAATATTTCTCGGTGATGGTAAGGCCTAATTGGACCATAATGTATTTTAAATGTGATACTATCTGTTTATTAGTATGATTATCTCATCTTCGTTATTCTTTCATTTTCCGCTTTACCAAATCATAAATTTATAACATAGTTGCACTTGCACATAATAGATAATTAGATATTGAGTAATGAGTATACTGCTTAAAAGTCTACTTGGTCAACTAGTGAAGGAAACATAGTCTTTGTAGTAATTGAAGGTGAAGTGTGTGTTTAGCTGGATTTCAGGAATGGCAAAAAGTAGTTTCACGGGCGTAGATATCTTGATTGAAGTTTTGTCACGTGATACTATTTCGTTGAATTTTTTTCGTAATTTGTATGTACAAATAATAAATAAAAAATAATACCACTTGCCGTTACAATAATTTATTTATTTATTTACTTTTTTAAATATTGACATCGCTTACGGAAATTTGTGTACGCCACTCTGGGAAATGTGGAATTTTTACTTTGCTGAAAACATATAAAAAAGGGTTTTCTCACGATAGAATTTTAGAAGTTCTGATACCCTTTTTGAAATTACACAGAAAATGTAAAGGTTGTTGCACTTTAGTTTTAGTGTGTGTTAAAAACTTTATTGGATTTTAGTGGTTTAGAATTGGCATCTCAGAATATGCATATAAAGCATTAATGGAAATTGGAAAAGTAATTAAATTAAAATTTTGAAGTGACCAAACTCCAAAGAAAGAAAGGAATTGGTGGCTTAGAGGAAGTGGACCATTTGAGGTTTGGTGAGGGAGTACATAATAATATTTAAAAAAATAGGAAATTCTGCAAATAAATTATTGCATGATCGTACAGTTAACAATAAAAGAAATTGATTATATTTAATGGAATTTTTTATTTTGTGTCTCACACAATTGACATTAGTTGTGTGAGGTCTTTTTTTTGTCTCACAACTGTGTGAGTCCCAAAATTTTATAAACCTAAATATATAAGATATGGATCCACAAATATGTGTGAGAGACACACTTTATATGCTAATTCAAATTGTACTACTACTTCTTTCACTTTTAACTTTATTGTTTGACCTTATCATCATGTCCCCTTTGAATAAGGGGATAGAGTATTTGTAGTCAGTTCTCGTACTAATCCCATCGTCTGATATTATCAGTGTGATTATTAAAAATAATTATCTCAAATTATTTATTATTTTAGAAGTTCAATACAAAATTAATTATTTTTTTCCTTTTTTACCCTTATTAGTAATTATTCTTGAATAAATATCCAATGAATGAAGATTTTATCTTAAGACATAAATAAGGGTAAAATAGTCGAATCTATTTCCTAACTAATATTTCTTAAGGGGCGTGTAAAAGAGAAACACGACAGATAATTTTGTTAGGACCGAAAAAAAGGTGTCATGCAGAAACTAGTAAAGCAACACTTGAACGACGATAAATCACACAATAAAAGAGAAATATACCAAAAGAGACAAATATTTAACATAGTTCGGTCAATTGACCTACGTCCACTAGCGGAGATAAGCAATCCATTATAATAAAAGAGAGTACAAATATCGAGAGAACAACCTCATGAAGAGGCAAACACAAGTGACACGCTAACACTTGTCTTGTAAAGTTCTCCCTCCTAAACACGACTTTCAAACCTCAATATGACTACATTGTAGATGCTACTGAATGAGAAGGAAGGATCCTTAATTTATAGAAGTCCAAACTTTTTCCTACCAAAAAAAGGACTAGCCAAATATGGGGGAGATTTATAGTTTCCTTCTAAAAGAAGGAAAACTCAATTATGGTAAATATATTGTCCTTTCCTTCTAGAGATAGGAAAATCAAATATGATAAGAAAATCAGGACAAACACATAACAATTCTCCCCCTTGGCTTGAATTTTCTGACAAAACAAACTTGATCCACCTTCTTCACATAATCTTCAACAGGTCGCATCTCCAAATCTATACCACAAAGTTTGTCTCAATGTGTGTAGCACATCGGTCAAAATTTTCAGACAAAAATCATGATTATCGTCAAATATGTTGCTGCTAGAACTGAACCCGCCAAGATGAACCTGTTTTAAATATCGCTCTAATACCACTGTTATGTCGAGGAAGAGGCAAACCCGAGAATAAAGAAAGAAGATAAAGAACACCAAATTTTAACATGGAAAACCCTTCAAATCGAAGGTAAAAACCAGGGGATCACAAAAATCCAAAAAGTTGCATTATAACAATAAAAAAAGTTACAAAAGTTTTCCAAATTGGCTAAACAACAAGTGCAAAACACGAGGCAATAAGAGCAACAACTAATCAATTGAAGAAAAAGGAGAATCCACCAAAAAAAACAAAGCTGCTATTCGAGGCTCGAAATCAGATGCTACGGGCCTCCAAATCCGATCTTCATCGTTCAAGTCAAAGACCAAGATGTTACGAACACTCAGTCAAAATTTCAGCTCGATACAACAATTAACGAATCGAAAAATGTGATTTGAAGTTGGCTGGTCGGAACAAAAAATCTGCAGCAAAAACAAATATTTTTCTTCTCTCTTCTCTCTTGATGAAAGTTCTCTCAAATGTCCCTCTTATGTGTTTAAGTCTTTCAAAAACTTGTATCAATGAGCATAGAACAATTTTCCAAGGTTGTCCTATTTATAGATCATGAGTTGTGCTTTCTCGTAAAGCCAAAACTCACTCAAAATAGGAATAAACACCGAATCCAATTCCGAATAGGAATGAAAACCAAAAGAGAATAGGATTAGGCCATTGGGCCTTTGGCTGGACAATATAGGCATGGGCCCAACAAACTCCTCCTCCATCCAGCTACGAAATCTTCAGGCTGCTCCATATAAATCTCCTCATCTAAATCACCATGAAGAAAAACAATCTTGACATTTATCTGCTCAACCTCTAAATCTAGACTTGTGGCTAAGCTTAGAACCACACGAATAGAAGATATCTTCACAACAGGAGAGAAAATTTTATCAAAGTTAACTCCCTTCTTCTGGCCAAAACCTTTAACAACTAATTTCGTCGTGTACCTAGGTGCAGAGGTATGGTTATCTTGCTTTATTCTGAATATTCATTTGTTAGATAAAGCTCTCTTACGACAATTTCACTAACTCATATGTGACATTCTCATGGAGTGACTTCATCTCATCTTCCATGACTTCGATCCACTGATCTTTGTGAGTATCTTGCATGGCTTCATCATAATTCTCAGGTTCTCCCATGTCAGTCAAAAGTACATACTCATCAGGAGGATAACACATGGATTTTTGCTTCTCCCTTGTAGATCTTCTAAGAGAGGTTTCAGGAGCATTCGAAGTAGTTACCTGAGCAGGAATTGGTTGATTATCAACCACAACTTCATCAAATGGAGCATCCATAACATCTACACCATGATGATAATTTTGATCTTGATCACTATCTCCATCATTGTCTTAAGTTCCTTCATGTGCAATAGGTGTCTTAGCAATAGAAACTGGACAATATCAACTAAACTCTCATTACTCTGAGAATCTATCTTCTCAGCTTTGTCAATATCTTCAATAGTCTAGTCTTCAAAGAATATTGCATCACAACTTCTAATAAGTTTATTGTCAACTGGATCATAAAAACGATACTCAAACTCATCTTGACCATAACCGATAAAGATGCACTGCTTAGTTTTGACATCCAGTTTCGATCTTTCATCTTTAAGAACATACACAAAAGCTTTACACCCAAAAACTCTCAGTTGATCATAAGAAACATCTTTGGTAAACCAAACTCTGTCTAGGACATCACCATCCAAAGCAACAGTAGGAAACAAATTGATAACATAGACAACAGTGATAAGTGCTTCCGCCCAAAATGTATTTGGAAGTTTAGCCTCTGAAAGCAGACATCTTCAACTAGAGTTCTATTCATCTTCTCTACCAAACCATTCATTAAGGTATTTTGGGCGGAGTTTTCTAATGACGAATTCCTTGTTCCTTACAATAGTTATCAAAAGGACCACAATATTCACCTCCATTGTCAGTGTGAATACATTTTAATTTTTTCCCCGTATGTCTCTCAGCTAAGGCCTGAAATTCTTTAAATATGCCAAGTGCTTGATCTTTAGATTTCAAAGAATACACCCAGAGCTTACAAGAATGATCATCATTGAAGATCACAAAGTAAAGTGCGCCACCTTTTGACTTTACTTTAAAAGAACCACACAAATCAGAGTGTACTAGCTCCAATAAATCGGGTTTTCTTGAGTGAGGATGGCAATAAAAGGAAACACTTTTCTGTTTGCCAGCTAAATAATGGATACACCTTTTCAGCTTTGCTTGTTTCACTCTAGAAAGAAAACTTTTCTTAGCCAAACACGTAATCCCCCTCTCACTCATATGACTCAATCTTCTGTGCCACAATTCTGATAAAGTGTCACTTTTTACCAGATTTATGGAGTTATTAAGAATAAAACCCCATGTCACATATAAATGACCAGACTTGACTCCTCGAGCCACTACTAACGAGCTCTTGATGAGCTTCCATTGGACATTAAAGAGGGCATTATGGTAACCTTCATCCTCTAATCTTCCTGCGGAGATCGAATTGAAAGGAAAGCCTAGAGCATGCTTGACATCTTGAAGAACTAACGTTGAACTATTATTAGTTTTCAAACAAACTGTGTCAACGCCAAACACCTTAACTTTACTGGCATTGCCCATCTTTAACACTCCAGAATCAACAGGAGTATAAGATGAGAAAAAGTCTTTTCTTGGTCTGACATATGAGGTAGCTCCAGAATCTACTATCCAGCTCGTCTCATGGGATACCAAATTGATGACGTTTTCATCATAAGCAAAAAGAAGGTCATCTCGAACAATGGCAGCAACATTGTTCTCGTTATCAACTTTCTTTCCTTCTCTAGTGTCTTGCTTCAACTTGTGGCAAAACCTTTTAATGTGTCCTTTCTTGCCATAATGGTTGCATGTAATATTATGGTATTTGGACCTTGACTTACTTCTACTTTTACCTCTATTCCTCGAGCATCTTGTTCTATCTCTCCCTCGGTCTTCTGTAACAAAGATATCTGCTTGTGAGAACTAACCCTGAGATTTTCTACTTACTTCCTCATTGAACACACCACTCTTGGCATATTCCATGGTCACCTTACCTCCAAGAGATGAATTTGTTAAAGAAACACGAAGAGTTTTCCAAGAGTCTGGCAGAATATTAAGAAGCCAAAGTCCTTGTATCTCATCATCAAAATTAACTACCATTCTATACAGCTGATCAAGGACGCCCTGAAAATCATTTATGTGATCAAGGATAGGGCTATTTTCCTTGTATTTAAAGGACATCAATTGCTTTAGCAGGAACAACTTGTTGTTCCCAGTTTTTGAAGCATAAAGAGTCTCTAGCTTTTCCCACAATGATCTCGCATGTGTCTCATTCATAATATGGTTGCGAACATTATCTTCAACCCATTATCATATACATACACATACTTGTTGTTGCTCGAAATTCCAATTTTCATCAGATATACTCTCGGGTTTATGAGCTGCAAAAATGGGTAGATGCATTTTCTTCACGAATAACAAATCTTTCATCTTGCTTCTCCAAATATTATAATTTCTCTCATTTAAACATACCATCTTGATCATATTCTCCTCCATTCTGTAACAATCCGGATAAATAACCAAGACTCTGATACCACTTGTTAGGAACGAAAAAAATCAGGTGTCATGCGGAAGCTAGTAAAGCAACACTTGAACGACGATAAATCAGATAACAAAAGAGAAATATACCAAAAGAGACAAACATTTAACATGGTTAGGTCAATTGACCTACGTCCACAAGCGGAGATGAGCAATCTACTATAATAAAAGAGAGTACAAATATCGAGAGAACAACCTCACGAAGAGGCAAATACAAGTGACACACTAACACTTGTCCCATAAAGTTCTCCCCCTAAACACGACTCTCAAACCCTATATGACTACATTGTGGATGCTATTGAATAAGAAGGAAGGATCCTCAATTTATAGAAGTCCAAACTTTTTCCTACCAAAAAAAGGATTAGCCAAATATGGGAGATTTATAGTTTCCTTCTAAAAGAAGGAAAACTCAATTATGGTAAATATATTGTCCTTTCCTTCTAGAGATAGGAAAACAAATATGATAAGAAAATCAGGACAAACACATAACAAATTTGAGATAGAGGGAGTAGTAGATAACGACAATTAAATTACACAAGAAATATTACGGCAAAATACAAAATTGGCTGGTTGGTCAAAATTAATTTTATTTTTTAGTCAAAATGTGTGTGTGTGTGTATTCATATAGAAGAGGGGTCATCGAACCTCGTTAACTTTGGCAAAATTCTGAATATATAAGCGTATATATATTGAAAATGGGTATATTTTGCTTGGAACCCTAAAGAGTAAAGGTCCCATGGGGACACTGGTTGAATACATATATGTTTTATGTATATAATACACATATACACAAAAACAAATTGTCATCTACTATTTTTGAAAAAAGCTAGAAATACATATTTTTCAAACATTTCTAAAGACACGAAAGCTAGAAGGTTAAAACTATGTGGGGAATAAATTCACTTGGTGCAATAATAGAGGGGCACCTGATACTATTTGGAAAAGGCTCGATAGAATGGTATTCAATTCTAAATGGTTTGACTTATATAATGGAACTATTGTTAATCATTTAGCTAGTGCATGTTTTGATCATGTTCCTCTGTTAGCACATTTTAAATCTACTTCTGACCAGTTTGTGAGGTATTTTAAATTCCTCAATTTCTTGACTGATCATGAAGGATTCATGGAAGTCATTAACAATATTTGGGATGATGCATGCTTTGGTAATCCCATGTGGAATCTGCACCATAAGCTAAAGTTAACTGCCTCCAAACTTAGCACATGGTCCAGAGAAACATTTGGAGATATCCATGAAGAGCATAAAAGACTAGAAAGTGAGTTGATTAGGCTTGAAGGTTTAATGATCTCTGATAATGATGGAGCTGGAAGATCCAATCTCAACAAAACTAGAGCGGACTATATAAAGTATCTTAAAATCCAAGATGCTATTCTTAGACAGAAAGCAAGGGTGAAGTGGTTCACTGAAGGTGATTCTAACTCAGCTTACTTTCATAATGTCATTAAGGACATGCGAAAAAGATTGAGCATCAACAAGATTCAGGATGAGAATTATCAATGGGTAGAAGGGACTAAAGAGGTATCTGAAGCCGCTATTAGATACTTTCAGGGTATCTTCTGTGAAGAACCTGAAGTTAATAATTACTCCGACCTTCATGACATTGACCCCATAATCACATAGGAGGTCAACAATGATTTGATTGCACTCCCAAATGAAGAGAAGATAAGAATTGCGTCTTCTCCATGGATCCAGATAGTGCTCCTGGGCCTGATGGTTTTACTGTTAAATTTTTTCAAGTAGCCTGGACAAAAGTTGCACCTACCGTCACGATGGCATTGAAATCTATTTTCTGTGGGGCTAATCTTCCTAAGTGGTTTACCCACACATGTATTGTTCTGTTACCCAAGGTTGCCTCACCTCAGCACTTTAATGACATTAGACCCATTAGTCTATGCAATGTTGTTAGCAAGATTTTTGCTAAACTTCTTAATGTCAGACTATCTAAAATACTACCTAACATCATTAGTAGGAACCAAAATGGCTTTGTTAAAGGGAAATCTTTAATTGAGAACATACTCCTTGCCCAAGAAATCATCCGAGATATTGACAAGCCTAATCGAGACGGTAATGTGGTGCTCAAACTTGATATGGCCAAAGCCTATGATAGAGTTTCATGGCCATACTTATGCAATCTGATGAGAAGAATGGGTTTTAATGAAGTATGGATAGATATCATATTCAGACATGTCTCTAGTAATTGGTATTCCTTACTTGTCAATGGTAATAGACAAGGCTTCTTTCAGTCCAAGAGAGGACTTAGGCAAGGAGATCCCATTTCCCCCCTCCCTTTTTATAATTTGTGCTGAATTTCTTTCAAGAAAATTACAAAAGGTCGCTATTCATAATGAGTTCATTGGATTCAGTATGAATAAGAGGGGGCCTCAAATTAATTACTTAGCTTTTGCTGATGATATTATTCTTTTTTCCAATGGATGCAGGAAATCATTGGAGTTACTAATGGAAGCCCTAACAACATATGAAAAAGTTTCAGGACAACTAGTGAATAAACAAAAATCTTGTGTTGTTTTGGCACCAAATTCATCTTTAGATTCAGTTCAGAGAATTAAGGAGATTACTGGAATGGAGCATAAGGAATTTCCTATAAAATATCTTGGTTGCCCCTTGTATATTGGTAGGAAAAAATAGCCATCTTCTCTGAGTTGGTCACTAAAGTGTTGCAGAAAATTTCAGGTTGACATGCCAAATTTTTATCCACTGGTGGCAGAGCTATTCTGATCAGACATGTTTTGTTAGCCTTTCCAGTCCATCTTCTAGCAACCATTCACCCTCCTAAAGGAGTCTTGAACCAAATAGAAAGAATGTTGGCCAAGTTCTTCTTGGGATATTCAGAAGAGAAGAAAAGATTTCATTGGGCTTCATGGGACAAGCTTTGCATGCCATACGCTGAAGGAGGAGCTAATTTTAGGAAGTTGCAGGATACTTGTAACGCATTCACAGCAAAGCAACGGTGGAATTTAAGGATTAGTGATTCTCTGTGGAAGAATTTCCTAATGGTCAAATATTGTCAGAGGTCACACCCTTTAATTAAGCAATGGTATTCTGGGAACTCACATTAGTGGAATGCTATGTGCAAGATTAAGAGGGAAGTAGATATGCACATATTATGGAAGATTGGCAAAGGAGACATTGCGTTTTGGTTTGACAATTGGACCAACTTAGGTCCATTGTGTAATTTTCTTCCAGAAGGTAGCAATCCGAGGAATATTATGCTCTCTGATGTTATAGTTAATGATCAGTAGTGGTGGGGTGGTTGGGATTGTCTATTACCTGACCATGTTATGGGTACAATTGAAGCTATGCATATTAGGTTGAGGCCATCAGTTCAAGATACTCCTGTGTGGACTGCCAATGAGAAAGGAGTATTCTCCGTAGCCGCAGCTTGGAATATATTCAGGAAAGTAAAAAGACAATCTTGGATTGATTCCAAGACATGGCAAAAACAGGTGCCCTTCAAGATGTGTTTTACTGTCTGGAGAGCATTGAGAGAGAGATTGTTGACTGACGCTAGGGTTCTTAGGATGGGTTTCTCTAGCACTTCTCGGTGTTGTTGTTGCATAAATCCTGTAAATGAAACTATAGATCATCTTTTTTGTTCGGGATCCTTTGCACAGAATATATGGAGGATTATGTGTGGTGCTAATTGAATTCCCTTTACAGGGGTGTCTTTTCGAATGTTACTAGTCAATTGGTGGAAAGCAAAGACAAAGAATCCCGTTGAAGCGTGCTTGATAAACTGTTTACCAATCGTCACAGCATGGAAACTTTGGAAAGCTAGATGTGGAGTTAAATATGGCTCTGAAAAACTCAATGTGAGGAGGACCATGTCCCTTATTTTTTTCTCCATTTCATAGATAGTTAACACCCAGTTCCCAAAATTCGATACCAAACCTATTTGGAGCAGTATATGGCATCTATTCAACATTAATATTGGATTCAAGAAGACCATCATTACCAAGTGGAACAAACCTCCAGCATTTTTTGTGAAATTAAACTCAGATAGAAGCTGTAAGAATGGTTTATGTGGTGAAAGAGGAGTTATAAGGGACAATTTGGGATGCTTGATTGCTGCGTTCACTATTAATTTAGGCCCTGGAACTAGCAATTGGGCAGAAGCACAATCACTGTTGTTTGGCATCAAATGGTGTATTAACAATGCTTTATATTGTATCTTGGCAGAGACCGATTCAAAGCTATTGGTGGATTGCCTTAATGGGAACAATTGTGTCCCATGGAAGATTTCAGATGAGATTAATGAGCATAGAAGTATAAGGGAACAAACAGTTTTTAATTTGAATCACTACTTCAGGGAAAGCAACCAAGATGCGGATAAATTAGCTTCTTTAAGCCACGAGTCTTTACAAAATCAACTGTTCCATAATTTTGATGAACTACCAAGGCAGGTCAGGGGCATAATGAACATGGACAAGTGGAGCTTACCGGCTTTTCGAATTGTTGATAAAAGAAGAACAAATATTACCTTTGAGCCACCATGAGTTTTAGATTCATGGATAGAATGTTATTTTTATTTTTATTGGTATGTTTTTGTTAGAGTTGGAAACTTTATTTGATAACTCATACAAACTAAAGTATCCAATACCCATGAGTTTTCTTCTACTCAGCTCTCACAACATTGCATGCTTTATCTTCGTGTTAGATAAGGGTGTTTGTGGATTATACACTCCACCCTCAAATCAATGTACTCTGTTTTGGATGGATGAATAAGAAATGCCAGTTATTCCAAAAAAAAAAAAACTATGAAAAATGTGCTTTTCTTAAATCCAAAGGAAACCATTACATTGCAGGAAAGAGATAAGGGATAGTATGCTTTGAACCCTTTACTTACAATGTGGAAGGCAAGGTGTTCACCAATTGAACTGCCTTCAACTTCTAAAAATTGAGCTTAAATAATAGAAAATCATTTTTATATATGCGTACACAATCTTTTTGTCCCATTTAAACATTTCGTTTTATCTTAACAAGACGATTTACAATCATATAAATATCTATAACTTGTTTTAAATTAAATTTTCTCTAAAAAGAATTTCATATGTAAAAGTATGGTTCGTAGTTTGCTGGGAATGACGCATTATTTTGATGCTAAAATCAACTTGTTTTGTTAATTACAATTTTTTAAATATTAAAAAATTGTAATAATTTTCACTATTTTAAAATTTTACCTAAGTAAATCGCATTTTTTATAAATCTAATTTATTGAAATGACATACAAATCCATTGTGCGAGATGCGACTTATAACTCGCATTTATCGGTTGCAATATATAAATCACAATTGGTAAATGCGACTTACACAATAACATTTGGTGATTGCGACTTACAACTCGTATTCATATTGCAACTTATTAGAGCTGTCAAAATGAACCAGCCTAGCCTAGCCCACCTCAAGCCTCACGGGCTTTAAAATTTAGTGGGCTAGGACGGGCTGACCCACTACATGAATGGGCCTTAAAATGGTCAGTCCAACTCAGCCCTAAGCAGAGGCGGATCTAGGATTTAAAGGTGGCAGGTGCCAAAATTTTCTCTAATGTACACCTTATAATACCTACTAATATATAGTTTGTTCGGAACGTTTGTCCGGTTCATTTTTTTAGTTTATTCGGACAATTTAATAAGCACTTTATTTGCAAATATAAAAATTACATCAATTTTTCAGACCCTATATATGGAATTTTATTGGATATATATGTTATTATTGTCGTATGAAAATGACATCTCAGACATTAAGAAGAAAATATAATTAGCATTTTAAAGAAGGAATCACACTTTTATTATTAATAATACAAGTAAATCAATATTTTTACTAGGGAACTATATTTTTTTTGTATGCTAAAAATAAATTTGCAAAAGTAAAATAAAATCTTTAATAAGGGAACTCCACCAATCAGAATAAGGAAAAAAAACATCTTCAATAAATAAATTATACCCCATAAAATGCAGAATTAGATAAACTACAAGATCTCAAAACTTAAAATCATAAATATAATTCTTGCGAAATATTTATCATAATTTAATACTAAAAGATTTAAATTATATTTAACAATCATAGAATAACACAATATCTATGTTATAATAAAAAAAGAAATTATAAATTAATTTTGATCTCAATCTAAATATCAAGACCCAAGTTTTTTTTATTTTGAAAGAAGAAAACTAAAAGATTTGAGATTAAGAGAAATGCTTATATTATAAAATTTTTAAAATTTGTTTAATGCTTAATAATAATCAACGCCCCTAGGCGCCTCTATCAAAAAAAAAAAATTAAAATTTTGGAGGCTCTTTTTTAAGTGTTCTTGCTAAATATCAAAGATAAAGTAATAGAATAGAAGAAAAAATCCAAAAATAATAAACGACAAATAGAAAATTGGGAGGTGGCCAAAAAGGAAAATGACCGGGACAAAAGAAATAAAAAGCACAACGAAATGGAAAAATCAGACAAGGTTCAAGATAAATTCGAACTTGAATTTTACACATTAGAAAAACTTCAAAAAGCTCTACCAGTCATGGCACCTTTGTCTAGTTTACGAATGGGGGTGACAGGATTATATATTTAACCTAGTTTAAATTTTTTTTACATAAATATATGATAATTTTACTAACTGAGCGGGTGCCATACCACCCCCACCCATAAGCGTGGATATGTTCCTGGCCCTAAGAGGGCCGCGGGCTAGGGCGGGTCGGCCCTTCAAAAATTTTTTAGAAAAAAAGAATTTGTTTAAATCCTTAAATATTTTTTCGTGACATAGTCGATTAATCATGTAAACAACTTATGTTTGCTTAGAACATATAAAAACTTGATATTTGACGAGAAATCTCATAATTGAACTGCAAATTTTCTATAGCTCTAGCTCTTCTTTTGAAAAAAGATTATTATTGGTCACCTAAAACTTTTCGAGTTCGGTATTAATTAAGCAAAAGAAAAACTAATTTTGTCATATTACATGCATGTCAAAAATATAAATTGTAGTTGATATGGAAGGGTAAATGAGCAATCTAGGGGTGGAGAATGGAGATTATAGTTAATAGTTTTTTTAGTTTTTACTTTTTTTAAATATTAGATATTTAATAGTTAATTAATTTGGATTTAATTTAATTTTTGGCCCACGGGTTGGCCCAAACCCAGCCTCGATGAAGCCTCAAGGGCCAGCGGGCTAACTCTACTCAAATAGCAGGCTGGGTTGAGCTGACCTCACGGGCCAAGTCCATTTTAACGGCTCTACGACTTATATTGACATTTCTGCTTAGAAGTCCATTTATCATTTGTTTTGGGGCAAGAATTCTTTATTTCGTTGGAAGGTAGTGAAATCTAATAAAAGAAGAAAAAAGCCAAATACCAACACAGTTTGCTCCTCTCTTTCAACCAGTTATGATCTCAACCAGAGAACAACAACAACAATCCAGTAAAATTTCACAAGTGAGGGGTCTGGGGAAGGTAGTGTGTACACGGATCTTATTTCTATCCCGGTGAAGTAGAGAGACTGTTTCCGATAGACCCTCGACTCAAAAAAACGAAAAAGATGAAAAGAGACAATATATCAATACTATTAACAGAAACCATAGAAATAATAATAGCATTATAAGAACCAGAAAATAGTTGAAACGCAATAACCATAACAAGTAAATAAGTCTCGGTGCTATGAAAAAACGGAAGAATAGTGTGAACACAATATTAACCATTAGCAGTCTAAGAAAAACCCTATCAGACTAGCCTCACATCCGGAACGAAGTAGGATCTTAAACAGAGAAAGTTTGTAAAACTACCCGTTCAGATTATCAAATGATGTGGTCGGATGAACGGAATTCTGAGCTATTAATTAGAGATTTCGAGTTCGAATCACAAGAATAGAGTAATTCTTAAAATTGATCGAGTCACTGAGTTGCTAACACCCGATGATTAAGAAAAAGATGTTGAACAATATAAAATAGTTGAAATATAACAAGTTGAAGGATGAAAATCTTTGAGGCTTGGATTGTGTGACCTATGATAGTGGCCAAACAGATGAGTATGGAGTTTTCTTTATCAATATTTTCCACTTGCAGAATTTTAGACCTAGTATCTATTTGTTTTTAATTTCCAAGACATCATGGAACCAGCTGCCCTGTGGCAGAATATTCATCTATGACCATCTTCATCATGAGCATATTCCATTAAAATGATTAAGGAAAAGGGTCAAATTTGCCTCTCAATTGTGCGAAAAGGATTAAATTTATCCTTTGTTATACTATCGGTCTAAAAATGGCCCTAATATTATACAATTGGCTTAAATATATCCCTATTCCGGTAAAAAAGGACGAATACACCTTGCGACAAGTGGCGTAACGTGACATCGCTTCGTCACAATTTTTATCAAATATGTATATATAGATAGTATATAAAATGAAAATATTTGGTATAAATAAAAAAAATGACACCGCTTGCCATTATAGTGATTGTTGATTCGTTCATTTCTTCAAATATTGACATTGCTTAGCGAAAATCATGTGTATACCCCTGCCAGTAGAGCTGACCAAGGTAGACACTCAATCTCACGTGGCACTGACAACTTGGTAAGGTGGATATCACGTGGAATGCCATCTCACTTCCCCAGCCTATTTTAGGGGGAAGTGCACGGTTAGCCACTAATAATATATGTATTTACTTTTAAGTCACTATTTAAAATGTCTTTAGTCTTTAACCACTGCTTTAATAAACTTTATCTGCCCGGACGAAAACACCCTTCTGCTCATAAAGTTCAGGACCAAGTGTCCTTAACTTTTGAACTTGCAACTCTAATTTCAGGACTTCAGGACTAAATGTCCTTAACTTTTGAACTTACAACTCTAAGTTCAGGACTACATGTCCTTAACTTTTGAACTTAGAACTCGAAGTTCAGGACCACCTGTCCTTAATTGCTGTGCTTGTAACTCTAAGTTAAGGATTACTTGTCTTTAACTTTTGAACTTGTAAGTCTAAGTTCAGGACCTATTGTCCTTAACTTTTGAGCTTGTTGTTCTAAGTTCAGGACCAACTGTCTTAACTTTTGAGCTTGTAACTGTAAGTTCTGGACCAAGTGTCCTTAACTTTTAAGCTTGTTAGTCTAAGTTCAGGACTAAGTGTCCTTAACTTTTGAGCTTGTTAGTCTAAGTTCAGGACCTATTGTCCTTAATTTTTGGGCTTCTTAGCCTAAGTTCAGGACCTATTGTCCTTAATTTTTGAGCTTGTTAGTCTAAGTTCAGGACCAAATGTCCTTAACTTTTGAACTTGTAATTGTACCAAGTGTCCTTGACACAAACAAAAACAGTGAGTCTTTCTTTCAATTGTACCCCAGTTAGCAGTTGCCCTGACTATATTATTTATGCTTCTGCGTTATAGTGTCCAAACTACACTAGCATCCAATTTGCCTTCTGCAGTTTGTTCAATTTTCATCCGTCCACTCTTCTTTTCTTCTTTTAGAGCAAACTGTCAAATTTCATGAGTGTTGCCAGTTAAAATTTGGTCGTCTGGCCATTTGCCTTGACTTCAATTATAGTATTAGTATCAGCTATCACGTTTTACAGACCGGCGGCACAGCTTCTCCCTAACATGAAAGAGATAGAAGAAAGGATAACACAGTTTTTTCATATTAATTTGAATAGACTAGTGGCTGCTATTGCTAAGCATTGAAAATGTTGGATAAAAAATAAATACTACTTTATAAAGTGGCTACCCCACACAATTTTTACCCTATTTTATCCCTCCCCACCACCACCAGCCCACCATCAAGGCGTGATTTTTGAGGAATAAAGAAGTCTTCTTAGAAATCAACCCAGTACTAAATTTCTTTGCAAAGATCCATGAGGTCTGCAATAATTTTGAGGTATTATCACTTTTAGCTCATGTCAGAAAATATTTATATTCGGTAGTCAAAAAATTGTATAATTTTTTTGTGTATATATATATATATATATTCGGCTATTATTTTGAGAGCGGTTATACAGTGTCAATTTTTCAATAATTAATAATAATTTTCTCATCCTCAAGCAAAAAATCGAAAGTACAATTTTAAGCCTATGAAGAAGAAAAAATTAGGCTTTATTATTCGTGGAGCTTGATGGTTGCGGAAGGAATGATGTTATGATTAAGCTTCTTTTGGTGCGACGTTGTTCTTGTTTTGAAGGAAAGGAATTACTGTATGAGAGCAGATCTCTTCAAATTCCCCCTTAAACTGACATGCCGAATGAGTCCGATGCACAAAGTATTTCGCGTTCACGCAGGGAAGAGAAAGGACCGCACTCCAAAGTGTATGATGCAGACAGTTTACCGTACTGCAAGCATTAATGGCTGCTGACTTAAAACCGTGACCCATAGGTAACACAGAAACAACATTACCTTTGCTCCAAGACCTATTGGCCGGTATGCTACAAGCGGCTATCTGGTGTCATTTCTACCCTCTTGTAAAGTTGATGAATAAAGGGGAAGCCTTGGCGTAACTGGTAAAGTTGCTGTCATGTGACCAGGAGGTCACGTGTTCGAGCCGTGAAAATAACCTATTTCTGCAAGGTAATGCTGCATACAATAGACCCTTTATGGTCCGACTTTTCCCCGCACATAATGAGAGCTTAGTGCACCAAAGCAGCCAGTAAAGTTGATGAATGGTTTCTGATTCATGTTCTTGCTGTGTTACAAATGATAAAAGCCAGCTTCCTTACCGTCAATGGATGCTTTACTGATTATCCGACCTACCACCGTTAATGTATTCAATAGCCAGAATATAGGAAGGAAAATAAATCGGCTGGCGTTGCTGATCCATAATCTATAATGTTCCTGTTGTTTATCTAGCAAAGAGAGACAATGTAAACTTAAACAGAATATAAGGTTTTATACACATAATATTACAGCAGGATGGACCATGGAGTACATTTTGACAAAATTTCCTGGCGATAATCTGATGCCTGGATTTTGGAGAGGAAATAGTGAATATTTTGAAGATTTGTTTCCCAATGTCTATTTCATACAAAGCACGGGCAAAGTAAGAAAAGGGAACGAAAGGTGGAGACTTTTAAATGTCCAAACGCAAGAACATTCTTTAGTTTGAAAGTTTAGGACGTTCTTTTCAACCCAATTTCCTTTCCCCTTCCTCCAAACATCAAATACCTTTTTCAAACAAGTGACTTATTTTTCTAAAATGCACATTGTTTTTGTAATCGAATATCTTGTATCAATATCAATTTTGTCATGCCAAAGTCCAGAATATCCAAGATCCATCAGTGCAAAAACCAAATGATTTGGCATTTTCACCCTCTGCACATAAATCTACACAATGTACAGATCCAGAGACACCTGAAATATTCTCAAAGTTAATGTTCTGTACATTAAGAACCTTTGTCCCATTCAACCCTTCTCTTTTTTCAAGAGCCATGCTTACTTGCGCATGCAGGAAGTTCTGGACTTGAGGTTGCTGCGACACCTCTATAAGTCAGCCAAACTAAATTTAACAATAAACCGCGCTTACTCTTGTTCCAATTTCAGGAAACTTAGACTTTAGCACCGATCTTGTAATCTGCTAATGAAGTAGTCTCTACAGCTTCAACAGTAGATCCAGGCTCTTTCTTGTCCAACCCAAAGAACGAGCAATTTTGAAATGCATCCAGACTGCTAGCTATGAGGCGGTTCAAGCCACCAAGACTATTATCACTTAAAATTAGGTCTTCACTATGATATCTACATGAAGGTGCGTCCAACTCTAGCGGTCCTAAAGAGTCTGGCTGCAAAGTTGAAAAAGAGGAATTAGGTAAATACACGCCTGAAGCTGACATACTAGGTGGTTGTATGTATAAAGTAAACAATGCCAACACAACTAATAGCAAAAAGGCAGACGTTAATTATCCAAAACATCTCCATTCAGATGTATAAGCAGGACAAGTAAGAAAATATTTACCCAATATATGTCAGAGAGCCCACTAAGATCCTTTGTAGAACCACCCAAAGCTTGTGCATGACACTCATCCACTGGATCTTCATGAGCAAGTTCATCAGTTAAAGGTTCCATTTTCCCAGGCAAATCCTGCAAAAGAAAATAAAGTTGATGTATAAGCTCCACCTGTAACTAGCCAAAACTGATGCATGCTTGAAAAGATTCTCTTTGACATAAACCTTTACTCCTGCATCCAACAATAGGGAAGATGACTGAGAAATGTGCTGGCGGTTCTCTGCACCAACATTGCTGGATGAATTGTTCGCTGTACGTCTGAAAGCAACATCTTTTTGAAATGCAAAAGCATCACATGTATCTTCAGCATTCCAAATGGAAGATGCTTGAGGTGGAAGAGCCATCTGAGATTCAGCTTTGCTCTGATGTTTATATATATGAGCAGCAATCGCTGCGTCAAACGAGTCGCAGCTAAATGGCATCTGCTGGAGAAAGTGAGAGCTTCCAGGTAAAGTTGATTCAATGCAGTCTGTTTCCTCATCGTCAGGTGCATCAGAGAGAAGATCTCCAACACTTATGTTGGTAAGGCTATCTTCCCAGTCCCCTGCTGATAAAGCACTGTTCTTGCTTCCCTGCATATCATGCTAACAGAAAGCAAAGTAAATATTCAGGAATAGAATAATAAGCAATCAAAGAAAAATATCATAAGTTTGGCACATTTAGCTGTTAATGAGACACCTTTTCTTGAGAAAGTTTTTTGATTTCGTAGAGAGAGGTAGATTAGTTTAGATCGCTAAGTCGCAACTGATTCAATGATATGCAATCCAACCTTCTTTTAAAGCAAAAATGACTGCCCTTAACACACAACACAACCAGAATAAAATAGGGAGAACCTCAAAATTCATTTGCTTCAACTTGAACATCTGATGATAAAACTTCAGTTTCTTCCCAGTAAGTAAAAACATGGTTTACGCAATCATTATCTTGGCATGAACTGGAAACTGATAACTTCACTTACCAATCAGACAAAGTCCAGAGGCGGATCAAGGATTTAAATTCTATGGGTTCAACTTTTAAGGTTTTGAGCATTGAACCCATTATATTTTTAAAGCTCATTATATTTTTAAAGTTATGGGTTCATATCTACTATTTTTTCAATTTTAACAAATTTTTTACATATAAATTTTACTCTGTGTTCAAAAGCTATGGATTCAATTGAACCCGTCATTGGCACGCTGCATCTGCCCCTAAGACAAACAAGTGCTAAATGAAAAATGTGTTACGATTGTTAACTTCTTGTCACATAATACGTTTATACAGTATATTTTGAGTTTCCCTAGCTTAGTGACTGAGTACTCACTTTGGTAATAGCTGATCTAAAGGGGATATCTTTTATTGCCTAATTTTGTTCCTTCTGCATGTGGGTGATTTTACAGTCATGGTTTTACTGACCATTTTAGAAATATTGGATCAACTGCTCAGGCTTTTAGCCTTTGGACAATTTTCAAAAAAATTAGACTGACAAGAAATTAATACATAAAGATTTATCACACAACAAACTTCTCAAGACAGCGGGCACAGGATCCAAATTAGGAATAAGACTTAATCCCTAGATCCCCTCAATCACCCTCTCTCGAACATCAAGATTATAGCAAGGTTGTTTGCTACTTGGAACAATTCCGTTAGTATTTCCTTCCCTGATTCAAATGCACACATTTTCATGATCACTGTACTCCTGAAAAAATGATGTGTCCTGGGATGCTACTTAAAATAGGCGGTTTCTTTCTATGGGATCCTTATCCCGTTTGACATTTTACCAGCAGATTTTACTTTGTCTCTTATCTCAGACTAAAACCTAATGCTAACCATCTCGCAAAAAAATTGTATCTATAATTATTTCCTTAACAAACTATTGCATCATCAAGATAAGTTGGTCTTCAACACATCTGACATAGGATAAGCTCCCGCAACACCTCCAGAGCGTAATTCAAATACTAGAAGAATAGAATAGCCTCTATAAAACTGACCCAAGTTTACTGAAATCCATCATGTAATAGGATAACTAAGTTACAAAAAGGTGTGCTGTGACTTTAATCATCACACAAAAAGCAGACAATGGAAGCAAACATAACATCAGCTGATAGTAGAAGAACCAAAAAGAATTCAACTGAATTGTCAGTTTTCCTATTTTCTACAGAGCAAATCAAGCTAGACTGATAATGAGAGTGAAACTAAAGAAAAGAAAATACCATCTCAACTTGTTTCTCTGTGGTTATAGCTCCGTTATCCCGTCTATGCATTAGCAGAGTTTCATTATGATCCGAATTGTAGGTATTCACACCCATGGTAGCTTGCAAGTTTGACTCACCAGACAGCTCGGTTGAGGAGGATGTCACAGTCATTCTTGGGTTAGAAACTAGTGGTTCTTTAGAAAAACGTACAAGTTTACCATGGGATGATGCTAGTACTTCCTCATTCTTTTCTTCTGTTATGTTAGTGTTAGTATTTTGTGTAAAGGGAGTGGTAGATGACAATGGTGCTTGAAACGTTCCAAGCTCAGAATTTGGAAACCAACCATATCTAAAAGAAGGAAAAATAAGTCAGTTGCACAGCTACTGCAGAGATAAATTCTTAAGGATACAAAAAGAAAATGTAAAACACAGACCTGAGACGGAAAACTGGAGGGCTTCCAATCAGATTATATACATCTGCAGCACTTAGTGTAGTATCTTTGGTCCATCTCAGGGATTGCACCAGGTTTTCCATCTGAACATGGTAAGGAAAAAGCACCAGTTTTCCAGTTGCTATGCTCGAGCTTCCCCATTTACGATTGAGATGTTCCAAAATGGATGACATCTTTTTCCTATTACTTAGAGTGAGTTCCAAGTATGGGTTATGATTATCCTGACACAGAAAGGAAAGAGAAGTGATAGCAAATAAATTTGACGTCAAATGTAGTAACCAGTTAACCACAGGACAGCAAAGAGATTTACTTGACCTACCATTTCCAGGGCTCTTCTAGTTCCTTCATCAACAGGAAACAGCTGGAGCTTGAGTTTCATACAACTCTGTAAATTGGTCTCATTTAACAGATTTTGTGATAAAGTCGGCAAAGAAGGCACATCTTTCCCGACATGTTCAAATCCATTTATACCTGCAAATTATTCACAAAAAGGATGGCAAGAAGTTAGATACATTTGATGGAATCAGCAATCCTCAATGGCAACAGGAAAAGCTGCAGCTAACTGCTAACCCTGTGAATTCTGGACCAGTCCAACATCTTTATCGATAGTTGCCCGTTCCAAATGCTCGGCAGCATCAGCTACCAATGAAACTCCAGCAATTGCAGCCTTCTCCCACCTTTTATATGCAGCTGTTGATACAGAACCTGCCACCCAGAGACGATACAATCAAGAGTTGAACTCGGAGACGACTTTGTTATTTAGGAAAATCAAAAGCAAAAGAACACCAGAAGAAAAAAGACAAAGCAGTAGACAGACTATATCAGTGATAGGAATATCACTGTTAACGCTCCTCTGAACAATGTCAGTTAAGGTATGGAGGGTGGGATGAAGAGAACGTTTTAGCTTGCCACTGCCATGGTATGTGCAATGCAGTCAGATATTTTTGTGATCCCATCTGAAAGTAGTATGTAAGAGTGGAAGAAGACCAAAACACATATGTCCATGTAAAATGAAACACCTATACTCAAAACATATGGAATGGTAGGAGTAGCCCGAGATCTTTATAAACCAGTTATGCCCTTATATATCCAATATGGAGCAATCTATATCTATAACATATGATTTGCTAGAAGATGCAGGGAAAGCATAAAAGCCAAAGAAGCAAAAGGGCAGCCCGGTGCACAAAGCACCCTGCATCCACACAGGGTCCGGAGAAGGGCCTCACCCCAAGGGGTGTGATGTAGACAGCCTACCCTAATGCAAGAATTAGTGGCTGCTTCCACGGCTCGAACCTGTGACCTATAGGTCACACGGAGACAACTTTACTATTGCTCCAAGGCTCCCCTTTGTAAAAGCCAAAGAAGCAATAACTGCAATTCATTCATGAGCTTTATAACTAACAAACCTATCTTTCGTCGATGTCTAGCATTTTTCACTGGAGAAGAGTCTACTTTTGTGTTGCTTCTATTTACACCCATAGTCACATGGCGTTTTAGAGAAGAGCCTTTTCCAGATCCAAATTTCTGTACGTCCTGGTTGTCCAGAAGAACCACTTTAACTGTCCGACTATCATTAGTTGACACTCTGCTATGACTTGAAAGAGATGCAGCAGCTGTAGAACTACTTTCTCCTTGAGAAGGACGCCTTCTTACATTCTTTTTCCGGTCTTTCAACAGCTGACTCTCCTTTATGACAATAAATGTTTGTTTAGTCCAACTAAGAATAAAGAAATCATGCTGAAACATGGGGCACAAAAAGTTGATGTTCTGACTGACCAAAGTCTCGATAAATATTTTAAATCTCCGTGGTTTCAAGTGAAGCTTTGAAGCTTTACAGCTAGACTTTTCCAGTAAAGACCACCTACAGTCAAAGTCAAGGTAGCTATATTATTACAAGTAGCTATTTAACATGTACAAGTGTCAAAACTAAGCTGCATTTGCTCCAACTTCACATTATAAATTTGTAGCAGATAGACAGACAAAGTCACTGGTTTACTTCTCCAAACCAGCAAATATTTAACATATCATACAGCTGATTCACTTCACCACCGGGAGACATAAGTGTAGCATTCCTCACACATAATTTCCACAGTCATAATATAATATTTTAAAAGCTAAAAGGAAACTTTGAACCCATCCTTACATTAAACCATAGCAGCTTCTATGTCATAAAAATGGATTAAAAGAGGATCATGCTGCTAACGAAATGGCACAAAATCATTTCCGGCCAAACTTTCATTAGTTTGAAACAACCAGAGAGAGGTAAATGACTAGGTGATGCTTCCCACATACCATCGCAGCATTGCAGCATTAGTGTCCTTGGAATTTTTGGCATCAAGACTAAGTTCCGGACCCAACAACTTGTTCATACGCCTCACAAGACGATAATAATAATGTCTGACCTGACAAATCAAAGAAATAAAGGTGTCAAAAAAAAAAAGGAAAAGATAAGTGAAGCAATAACCATGGTAAAAAAGATATCTGGATAATTAAATAAATAAATGACACCATATATCACCTGATCCTTGTTTTTACTCTGCACACGACTAGTAATTTTCTCAAAGTTCTGAAAAAGTAAGTGTCACATCCACAGTCATTATTGATCCCACAAGAAAAACAAAAACTAAAAAGGAAGCCAGCTATATATACACAAACACAGTGAATACCTTGCCAACTTGTCGCAGTGCAGAGAAAAAGCTTTCTTCCTCCTGACGTGTCCATGCAGCCCATTGACGTGTCTGCCTTTTGGCTGGCATTGGTAATAAATATCCCAGCAGCAGAAATGACAAGTTAGCCATCAGCAACTAGAGAACAATTAAGTCTAAGACAGATAAGATAAAGCACATATTTTGATGACATACCTGGTTTCTGCAGCATAACCTGGTCTTGGGACAATGATACCTGCTGTGTCACTGCATGATCATATATCAGCACGGACAGCTGTGCAGCAGGATGATCTTCTGAGGTTATCACTGGCTGTGCTGCTGCAGGATGTTGTGTATCATCAGAAACTCCATCCTTGCACATAAGTGTCTCAGGATGGAGGCATCTGTCACACTCTAAGGAGACCTGTGGCTCCATTTGCATGTTGAAGTCATCCGAAGTACTAGCTTTGCATTCTACTTTCAACTACAAACACCCGAAGATACTTCTCAGACCTCCAATCCAACTGATAATATGTGCAGATAAAAAGGTACCTATCAGAGCAAATAAAAGACCACTCAACATTCAAACAGAGAAATTCAAGATTGAATAAGACACATACAGTCAGACTTGCAGACTCAGGAAATAACATTGCTCTCTGTATATATCAACATACTACACCATATAAATCCATGCATATGCACATGCTCAGAATATGTACCCTTCAAGATCCATTATCCTGGTAAGAGATCAGGTATGCACTAATTTCAAGGTGGAAAAAGGACGAGACAAAAAAAAAGGACTAAAAAAGAAAAAAGACGTAAAAGAACTAACGGGTCATTTGGTTTGAAGACAAGTTATGCTGGGATTAGTTATCTGGGTTTAGTTATGCTGGTATTATTTCTTATTGACTGCTTGGTATGTTGTATTAATTTTGGAATTATCAATTTTACTGCTTTAACCTGGGATAACTATTCCACTCTCTAGCAGGTATAAGTTATCCCGGTACTGTTTCTAATTCTGAGATAACTTATCTCAGAATTAGTAACCAAACAAGGGATAGGTGATACTAAATATTTATCCCAGGGTTACTTTTGCTTATCCATCATACCAAACAACCCCTAAATGTTACAATAGCTTCAGTATACCTCATGTGTTAAAGCAACCAGGAATAAATGTGGAAGAACTGACAGTTCAACTCAGTCTCAAACCATACTTGGTAGAGAGGATCTTATCGAAAAACCTTAGACGAAACTGGTTTCAGCGAATCATAAGATTCATCAATGGAACTTAAAAGCTATAGCCGAAGTATGGGTGTTTTCTAAATGATAATAAGTCGTAGAAACCATAATCCCCATGAAAGTAGGATACAATATTGTTAGTCAACCTACTAATAACTCTAAAAGAAAACCAAGATATTTAATATGCTAAAGCAACAACATATAAATATCTCCAAAACTATTTGAGTGAATGTTATACTGAAAAGAATAAGTTTGGCAAACCATAGTCTTGGTCAACGAGGAATCTGGAGAAGTAAATATTTAAGAACCTGAAGCAACTAAAAGTAATTAGGTAAATACAGTACTCCCTGCGTCCAATTTATGTGGCACCGTTCGAATTTCGAGAGTCAAACAAGTTTTTCTTTGACAGCGATATTTTCTTACGCGTTTTAAATATTTTGAATTGTTAATTATTGTGACTTATAATTTTATGTAGTTCCCAAATATGTAAATTTTATTTCAATTTTTTTTTTAAATTCTATGTCCAAATTCATGGCCAAAAGGGCAACCCGGTGCACTAAGCTCCTGCTATGCGCGGGGTCCAGGGAAGGGCCGGACCACAAGGGTTTATTGTATGCAGCCTTACCCAGCATTTCTACAAGAGCCTGTTTCTACGGCTCGAACCCGTGACCTCCTGGTCACATGGCAACAACTTTATCAGCTATGCCAAGGCTCCCATTCTCCAAATTCACGATCCAAATTAAGAAATTTGACACTCGAAATCCAAATGGTGTCACATAAATTGGGATGGCGGGAGTATTATAGAGAGCCTAGAAAAGTTTATCATGCATGGATAAAGAGTATCAACTGAAAATTACCCACACGCGAATCATTTTTCTTTTTTAATTGTTCTCCATCATACATATTGAATACTTCGGACAACCTTTCATATATTTTTCTTAAAACATTCAACCCAAAGGTTTTCAAAACAGTAAATTGAAAACTAAATATTTAGAAATCTACAATGCAAACTGAGACAGCTTTCCAAAAGTTTAAATCATGTTGGTTGATGTCCTAAATTTTACGCATATGTATCATGCATATACATATGTGTCCCTATCAAAATATATATACGTATATGTGTGTGTGGCGCCTGCACATGCACATAGAAAAATATCTCTAAAGTAGATCAATTAAAGGTAAATTGGAATTGCTTTTATTTAGAAAACTAGTTCATTATGCAAATAGAAGCTCGAATGGATAAAGGATGAAAAGGAATGATTGCAGTAAACTCACATATTGCTGTTGATTTTTTTATTTTTTTGCTTTAGTAAAGTCACAAATTAGTTATAGAAACTATGGAATTATACACAGAGGTGCCATTCAAATTAAATACATGAATGTTCTAAAGCTTGCAGAATTCATGTCTTCTACTTACATCATAATTCTTCTGTGCACAAACTAGTTGTTTTCTTTTAGGAATAAAGTAAGCATGTAACGAAATAAGTACATGCAGTAGGTCACTGGTTCAACAAAATTGGGAATTAATACGGTCCATCTACATTGTTAACATATTTACAACGACAGCAAAATGAAAGAGTCAGTAAACACGTTGAGGTTAATATGAATAGGAACCGATACTCCATCAAAATATCTCTGATTTTTCTCCCTCTCCGAAATCCACCAAATGACATTGGGAATAGTATACATTTCGTGTTTTCCTCCAAACTAGCTCAGATATGCATTTGTAAATGATCTGGGCATTGCCCAACCCCTAACAGGTTTCGGAATATATCCCACAGCTCCCTTGCTACCCACAGTGTAGGAACACATTTTTTTCTTTTCACTATTCGAATATATCATCTTAGTGCCATGTTGTTTATTATTAATATTATTACAACCATTATTTACTTGTTAAAAATCAAAATATACAAGTGGAAAAGAGATGAATTAATTGTTAATTAATGAACTTGTTACTTTTTAGGAAAAGGAATTTAGAGATTAATACTAGTCACTTGATTGCAGTTTTGAATCTAAATCAAAATTTTAATTGGTGTTTGAACTTAATTGGTGTTTGCATAGTCTTTAATTTGCATAGTATTTACTTCATCTATCTCCCTTAATTATAGTTTTCAGTTACTCTTTTTTTATAAAGACCTTTTGGTACTTTATTCATATAATTGCTTTTAGTGTTTATGGTTATTTTTCTGGCCTTACATATTTTTCTTGCTTCATTGCACCTTCTTTTACTAAAGCTCATGCTTCTATTGTGCTTTGAGCTTAAAGCTCCAAAAATCTGAGACTCTTTTCTACGCTTCTCGTCTTTGACAACACCAGCAAGAACTCTACAGGTAAATCGATATAATATACATTTTTCAATTCATCCAAAAAGTCATAAAATGAAAGAGTTTGTGCTTTAAGCTGTGTATTGATGACAGTTTGCTCTCAAAATGTCCGCTATCCTATTTGATATAAGTCACCGAAAGGATGCAGGGCGGCACTGTGATTGATAAGGCTTTAAGCGTCTCACAACTAGTTCCTCAGTTATGCACTCCCTCCATTTCCTTTTATGCGACGACACCGAGTATAGGGTTTAAGAAAGAAAAAAAGCTTTTTGAGACCTGTGGTCTTGAACATGTCATGACATCTATTTTAAAAAAAGACATGTCATGACATTTATGTGGCTATAAAATCATGTCATTAAGGGTAAAATGAGACGTTTAAAGTTAAAAATTAAAAGGTATAGACCATTTTGGAACAAACCAAAAAAGAAATAATGTCACATAAAACGGAACAGAGAGAGTACTTACTTTTAGCCTGCCATGTTACAATATAAAGATACAATTCCTTTATCGGTCTTGATTATACTCAATTAGGCAAGATCTCAATCCCGCTAGGCATTATAAAGGGATCAATAGCGAAGGAATCCAGGGCAAAAGGGTGGTGGAGTTAGAACTCCAAGAACCCAAGTTTAATTCATGAGATTCAAGGAGACATATCACATAGCTATTATTTCTCGTGCTCGATTTTAGATGAAACTAAAGTTCATGTTGTTCTCATCCATATATCATGTTCATAGCTCTCTAATTGCACATTGTTCTACTATGTTTTGGTCCAAAAAATTAAAGCTTGCTACGAAAGCAACATACTTCGTTTAATTTAGTTCAAGCTTATTATAACTAGATATTTTGGTTTCCTATCACCTATAGCCTAAGTTATATCCATCATAAATTAAACTAGAAATCAATCAAATTCTACCAAAATTGAATACGGGAAAAGCCTAAAATCAGCAATTGCGAATTTCTATAGACCACAGATAAGTTCCTGAGGAATAATGTACTATATAATTCCATACCAACACTAATCAGCAACAGATAATGAAATTAAAGCTTTGAATCTAATAATTAAACAAATAAAACAGGAAAATTAGGGCAAAATTCACGTAATTCAGGTCGGTTTCGGAGTAGGAAGAGTTAAAAACAGTTACCGGAAAAATCACCGGAGAAGTTGAATGAAGAACGCCGTCAGGAACCCAAGCGGCAAGGCGGCACCGGCAGAAAGAAGCAAAGTGGAAAAAAGGAAAGTAGATTCGAATTAGGAATGGATCGATTGGTCACAGGGGAAATTGAAAAGGAAAGGAAAGGAAAGGAAAGGAGAGGAACAAAAGTTTACAATATGATGAAAATTACACACACATGAGGAAAAAAAATAAGAGAATTAAGATATTTCCCCTTCAAATTTTCCTTTTAAACTAATTAACCTCTTATGTTCAAATTTTCCTTTTAAACTAATTAACCTCTTATGTTCAAATTTAAGTTTTAACTTCAACCCTTTGAACTCCATACACATGGGGGCAAAATTGTCATTTACATTTACCTTAATAGTATCACAATTTAATGACTTATATTGATTCATACTTTGTTAGGGAGGAATAAGAATGTGTATCATGATAAAGAAAAGGGATTGTTACACAAATACCCGACCAGATTCAATGTTTATATTTTCTAGACGATATATATAGATTTTATATATATATATTATGTTTGTTGATTATTTTAATTTATGAAATTAGGTAGACGGCCATTTGAGTTAAATCTTCTAAAGAAAAACAAAAGATGGGAAGGATTATGGTGGAATTTACAATCAATAAATCATGACCCTAATCTCTATTTGGAATAATAGATTTTTTATCATTTTGGTAACGATAATTTATTGGTTTTGGTATATTAATTAAAAATTAATTTTGGTTATAGTTACATTAAAAGTCGAGGAAACTTGCACCTCTTAAGATTGAGTAACGCAACCCTACAATGCCGGAACAAAACTCATTCAAGTGCTCACCTTAATTCTTTACCCCAAGTCCCCAACCCTAGCCCCCTCCTCATTCCTCTCTCTATTTTCACTTATTTTTTATTTAATCATTTGATATTGAAGTTCTTGCTCAACTATTCTTAATCCGTATTGGATCCGTCCATTAAGAGGATTAAAGCATTCTCTACTAAAAGATTCTTTATTCTCAAAGCTCAAACATCTTTTTGTTTAGCAACTTTAAGTTAGTTACTACACCATTTGGGATATATCGCAATTATTTGTCAATTCTGTCATATTTAAGATATGTTGCAACTACTTATCGACTCTGTCATCCCCCTTTGTGACAACAAAGGATTCAAAATAATATGTCTAAGTCTGGGACTTTTTGTTTTGAGTTTTTCTCCCTCAAAAGAAGTTAATTGTTAAAATATAAAATAACGAACTTTTCAGTGATTGTTTATACCATATCCACTTCATGATAACAAGTACAAGATTTGGTGAATTTTCCTTTTAAATTAACATGTATGTGTCACGCCTCCTTTTTACCTACACCCCCGGAAGGGTATATAAGAGAGTTTTTTCCAACTTAAAGTGACAATCGAAACGGGATTATTTATTTATAGAAATTCAAAGTCGCCACTTGGGATAATTTAGGGTGTCCCAAGTCACCTGTTCAAGTCCCGAATCGAGGAAAGAGTGACTCTGTTTTACAGTCCGTGAACCAGAAATTTGGGTAAGGAATTCTGTTAACCCGAGAGAAGGTGTTAGGCATTCCCGGGTTCCGTGGTTCTAGCACGGTCGCTCAACTGTTATAATTGGCCTATTATCTGATTTTAATACATATTTTAGCCTATGGTTCAAATTTAACTTTTAAACCGCTTTTATTTAATTAAGAAAAATTCAAGGTTATGTACACATTGCAATCCACGCTACATGAAATGCACCCGTAAGTCATGACATATTCTATTTAACCTTGTTGGAAATTAGAACGGGGTCACATGAAATGCACACCCGAATTGAGAATTAGACATCGTAACTATGTCACGGGAACCGTACCTATGGTCATGATAGTTTATTTATTAATCGCGCCTAAAACATGCTCCTATCGATCCGAACAATTAAGAAAAATAGAACAAGAACAAGAGAGACTTTCTTAAGTTTAAAATCTTTCTCATATTTATCCGGGATCTGTAATGACCATTGTTAGGAGTTCAAAATGATGAAATCACATTACATATACCAAAATTCCCTTAAAGAGTAAAAATAGTCATTTCCAGTAATTCACAAGCTAAGGTAAGCTTTGCTTTAAAGTGAAGCTCTAATTTTGGACAATTCATGAATCAAAGCTCACTGAATATGGCAGTTAATTGACCTTAATCGAGCAAACAAAAAATGACAAACATAAACATGAATCTTTAACTTAGATGAAGGAGAATCAAAGAATGTTGTATCATTTATTGAATAGGTCATTCATAGGCTTTAAAACCGTGCATGAACAGAGTATTCAATAAAAGCAACTCATAACATGAAGCTTCACTAAGAAAAATGAACCAATACGTACATTAATACCATATGCGAACACAAAGATTAAACAGATAAAAGAGAGGAGTTTAGATGAACCAACAATATTTGCTCTGGCAATTCCAGTAAAATTTAAACCAAGACATGCTAGAAACAGTAAGCTAATATCTCAATATTCATCAAACACATAACACAAAATCACAAGACATCGAGAAATTGAGAAGAAATGAACCTGAAATTAGAAAATGGGTCGACTGATTCAGATATTAACTTCCAAATTTGAGAGAAAGAACATCAGCAAAGTCGAGCAAGAATCGCAGGCAAAATCGAAACCTCGAACCGGAAACCTCGTCAAATTCGAAACAAACTACCTTCAACCGAGCTTAATATTGAATTTGAAACTCGTACGCTTGGACTGTTTTGAAACTCCTAAGCAACAAGATCAAACAAAACCTCTAATCGACAACACTGGTAGCCCAAAATATTCAATAATGAAGAAACAATTAAAAGGTACAGCAGTTCCGATTCCAAAATTCGACTGAAATAGTCTTTCAACTGATGAGTACTCCCAACTATTACAAGGATTTCAGCTCTGAAATACAATTGAATGAACAACAGGAACTTGTTCCACAAAAACAAAATGTCAAACAACAACAACACTCGAACAACGCCGGAAACATCAAACTCAACTAGACATAACCGTACTCCATATTTGAGACCGAAGATCGGAATCTAAGAAAAAGGCAGATGTGTATTTCGGGGGTTGGGTTGTTGTTAATGGGAAGAAGCAGAAGCAGCGATGGCTATGGTGTTCGCAGGTTCTCTGTCCAGCGGCGACTGTGTGTATGTTTATCAACGAGCTCGTCGCTGGCTTCTGGGTGTTCTGTGTGTTGTATTGATTTTAGGGGTGTGGTGAAGAAGATCCGTTCAGAAGGGGGGTCGTCCTTGGTGTTATCGGCGCTTAGCTTTTTTCAGATGCCTCTTTCTTTTTATTTTTTTCAGGCGTCTTTATTTTTATTTGTGTATTTTCAGCTTATTGCTCTTAGGTCCTTAGGGTATTTTTATTTATTTTTTGTTCCAAAGAAGAGTCTAGAAGGGTCTCTAAGATTAGCTTAATGGGTATTAGATATTGAACTTAAGGAATTGGCTAGAAACTTGGTCCTTTATGACTAGCTATGTTCAAAATTAGCTTAATTAACTAAAAGTATTATCGAAAATATTAATTAGCTCTACTTAAGTAAAAATAATTATCAAAATAAGACTGACCATTAAAACAAAACTATTTTTTGGTATTTTTTCAAGATTAAAAATGACTACAAAACATTAATGAACCTATTTTTTGTAATTTTCGTTTTCTTGTAATAACATAAAAGTAAAAGAGTAAAAATGAGTTGAAATAGCTATATTAGGCCTAAATTAAATATTTACGTGCTAAAATATGAAAAATCTTGGGAGGGTCAAAAATCACATGTCTACAACTACCCCTTTTTTACTGGAAAGACGAAGTATTTTTCAGACAAAGAACGACTAGACATGTTTTTTGACCCGACCCTTATTTGGAGAGACTAAAACTAAGAGAGAGGGGAATGTGATCGAGCTTTGGTATCTGAGCTGCCTACATATCCTTGGCTATAAAGGAATCAAGCCACGTGTAGTTTAGAGGTGAGTGAGATAATGGAGTGTGCCGAGGTGGAGAGCTGGTCGAGGTGCCGTTCCGCCGAGGTTCCGGTCCGCAGTCCTGATATTACATCAAAATCAAAACATGAAAAAGACTAGATAAGCCTATCAACTACGAGTTACACGATTCCTATCTATAAGTCTTCCGAAGCTTGATCTTGAGTCTTGAATGGTTCTTCATGCAGACTTTGGATTTGAACCTTGACGCCTGCTAGTTGCAGGTGCTAGCTCGTTCTTCTTCAGCTTTTCAAATCAAAACCGGGCATGAAGTGCTTGTGACCTCGGGCATGTCTTGAGCAGCCCACGTCTTTCATCAACTTCTGCATTTGGATTAACTTTATGCCTTTCCCTCTTTTTTCTTTATTGCGTTTAACTTCTGTTGATCCCCTTGGACTGTTGAATCGCATTCTTACCACGAGCTTCTTTTGTTGCTGACTTGAATTGTAATCTGAGATGCTTTCCCTTTTCTCCAGGTGGACGCCTGATTGTTGAACTCGAATTGTACTCTGAGATGCTTTCCCTTTCTCCAGGTGGATGCCTGATTGCTGAACTTGAATTGTATTCCCATGCTCTCTAGGTGGGCGCCTGACTGCTGAACTTGAACTGTATTCCTGTGCTCACCAGGTGGGCGCCTGACTGCTGGACTTGAATTGTATTCCCGTATTCTCCAGGTGGGCGCCTGACTGCTGAACTTGAATTGTGTTCCCGTGTTCTCCAGGTGGGCGCCTGACTGCTGAACTTGAATTGTATTCCCGTGCTCTCCAGGTGGACTCCTCATTGCTGAGCTTGAATTGTTTTCCCGTGCTCTCCAGGTGGGCTCCTGACTGCTGAACTTGAATTGTATTCCCGTGCTCTCCAAGTGGACTCCTCATTGCTGAGCTTGAATTGTTTTCCCGTGCTCTCCAGGTGGGCTCCTGACTGCTGAACTTGAATTGTATTCTCGTGCTCTCCAGGTGGGCGCCTGACTGCTGAACTTGAATTGTTTCTCCCTGTTCTCTAAGTGAGTACCTGATTTCAACAAAAATAGACAAAATAAAGAAAATTTTCTGCCCCAGTTTGATAGTTGGGCACATATGTGAGTGTTAAACTGAATCATATTACCAAATATTAGTAAGAGTTTGAAAGCTAGGTCCCATTATCCAGGAGGGTCCTGACAACTCCTAGTTAATGACAGTTCTTTTAAAAGCTGAATTATGTTTTCTAAAGGTATGACTTCCGCTAAATCTGGTTATTTAAGAAGGTCTTAAAACTACACCCTATTATCCAAGAGGGTCCTGAAGACTTTTTAAAATTAAATCTCATTATCTAGAAGGGTTCTGAAAATTTTTAAAATTAAATCTCATTATCCAGGAGGGTCCTGAAGACTTTTTAAAATTAAATCTCATTATCCAGGAGGGTCCTGAAGACTTTTTAAAATTAAATCCCATTATCCGGGAGGGTCATGAAAATTTTAAAATAAATCACATTATCCATGAGGGTCCAGAGAATTTTAAATTAAATCTCATTATCCAGTAGGGTCCTGAAGACTTTTTAAAATTAAATCTCATTATCCAGTAGGGTCCTGAAGACTTTTTAAAATTAAATCCCATTATCTAGGAGGGTCCCGAAGACTTTTTAAAATTAAATCCCATTATCTAGAAGGGTCCTGAAGACATTTCAAAATTAAATCCCATTATCTAGAAGGGTCCTGAAGACATTTCAAAATTAAATCCCATTATCAAGGAGGGTCCTGAAAATTTTTAAAATTAAATCCCATTATCCATGAGGGTCCTGAAAATTTTAAAATAAATCCCATTATCCAGGAGGGTCCTGAAAATTTTAAATTAAATTTCATTATCCATGAGGGTCCTAAAAACTTTTTAAAATTAAATCCCATTATCTAGGAGGGTCCTGAAAATTTTAAATTAAATTTCATTATCCATGAGGGTCCTAAAAACTTTTTAAAATTAAATCCCATTATCTAGGAGGGTCCTGAAAATTTTAACATAAATTCCATTATCTAGGAGGGTTCTGAAAATTTTAAATTAAATCCCATTATCCAGGAGGGTCTTGAGAATTTACGGTCAAACCTGTCTGGTGCTTGATTTTCCTTACGGAGGGTTTCTCTAAAACAAACGAAATTTTCTGCCCATGTTTTAATCAAAGAAAAATCTTGTCAGTTTAAAATGTGGTGGTTAGTTGATGGCATTCTTGTTGAAGGTCTCTCCGCTGTCGTGCTTTGTTTTGACTGGCTTCCCCGAACTGTCCCTGAACCGCTTGGCTTTCTGACTGAATTTCAACCCACATGACCTCGGATGACCCGAGTGTTCTATACCCGAACCGTTGTTTCACACCTCTGACCCCTTTAACTAAACCTCTACATCTCC